GTGATGGTTTAATGTGTCCACAGAACGTCCCTGAGGGCAGTGAAGAGGGATACAAACATGGTACAGGGCGAAGTGGTTGCATAACAGGAAGGGGGAAAGGCAGACTGGGATCTGCAAACACCTAGTAGTCTTCATTACCCATTTCCAATGGAAAGGTAACAACATCAAAGGTATGTTACTGAGCACTTACTGTATATCTCATTTAATCACCATAATCCTTTCAAGTTGATACTATTACCAATATTTTTTTCAATGCTGAAACTGATACAAGTATTAAGTTAGAGTATAATTCCAGAGCCCAGAATGTTACTAATTCCAATTCACTGCCTCCACTGGACCCAGGAGAAGCACCCAGGTTTTTGAGTGTTATCATTCCTTCGGCTTCTGTGTGCAGTGTGATGGCTCTGGGAAAACCACGGCAAGGGAAGAAGAATCACAGAAAAGTGTGGCAACCAAATATCACAGGTCATGAAAGGGCTGACACTGCAGCCTAAGGGTTAGGGGCACTAGATCCCACATGGCCAACCACAGTTCAAATCCTAGCCTAGCAGCTTGAAAAATCACATCAAGTATATGTGTGTAGCATACCCCAAATTCTGATGGGAAGGAGAAATGGAGAAGGCACTGCAGCACAACCATATCTCACTGGCCCACTGGGTGGTGTTTTTCCCTTCTCCCTCTCTCCCTGCTCACTTTCTCAGGTGAGTGCATGTGCCTTCTGGCAACTTATTTTTAAAAAAAAAGTCATGGGAAATGCATATTATGAAATACTATGCAAAGATTTCAAAAATATTTGCAGCAAAATAACTTGTACCTTCATTCCATTTTCCAGGAGCCTTTTGAAGTCCCCTCTTTGCCCTATCTTCTACAGGTATTTGTCCAAATGGTCTAGATACACTGCCTTTTCAACAATTTTACTGTACACTCAGATGGAAAATTTGGCATATTTACTAGCCCTGGAACGACTAAACCAGAAACTCTGGGGCTGGGGTCCTGCATGTTGTGTCTCACAAGCATGCTTCAGTTTAAGAACTATTCATTGAAGGAAAGTCTTGCCTTAAGTCAATATAGAAAATTCACAAAGGAAAGGTGAGAAAACCATATTATTTCCTAATGACTCCAGATTCAATGCCCAACTAAATACCAAAAAGTAAATTCAAAAAGACACTATCGATAAATTTTCAGATGTGAAAATGGACTGAACTCTCATTTCCTGCACAGAAACAGCATGAGGTTTATTATTAGCAGCAAATAAACGTAAAATTCCAATAAAAATACAAGATGCAAGGCATTTTTATGCTCATGGTTCACTTGAGGATCATATTACTCCAAGAGAACTATGTGGTCATCAATTTTTAGAATGGACTCAGAAACTCAAAGGATGCATAATTATAATGACCTTCTTCATATGAGGTATTCATATATTTAAATGAAGTACATTTTATATGCAATCATTTCAAAAATATATGCTCTTTTAATGACAGTTCCTAAAGCTGGTAAAAAAGTGAAGCAGGTACATCACACCCTGGGGTGAGGGGGATATTGTAAATTAGTACAACTCTTATGGAAAGCAATTTGGCAATATGTGTCAAGCTGTAAAAATGTCCATACTCTTTAACCTATTAAGTCTATTTCTTTTCAGATTAAGAACTAACTCTCCCAAATGAAAAAAGTTATATGCCCAGAAATGTCCTCTGCAGGCTCGGAATGGAGGATACAGAATATCTAAAAATATGAAAATGATTTAAAATATCATGTGACCATTTAAAATAAAAGCAAAGATTATCTGATGACATTAAAACACACACACAGATGAAAAAGAGTATCATGATGCAGAACTGTATCTACACTGTACGCACAACTAAGTTCAAAAATGGGTACACAGAAAGGTGGAAAGAAACATGAGTGTTGGGATTGGAGGGCAAAGTCTCTTTTTCTTTCTACTCACCTGTTTTGGAGGAGTAATAATTAAAATATTAATTTTAATAAAAATAAGTTTGCGAGCAGCATTGAACACTTTCAAGTTTAAATAAATGGATTTGTGAGTGTATGTATTGTGTGCATATAAATGTTTACAGAAGAGCAACTAGAGAAGAGGAAAGTATCAAATTAGTCATTGCTAAACAATGGTAGCCAACTTAAAATGAGACATGACATAACCTTATTTCTCCTAAAAAAAAAAAAAATCAAGCCACATCAGGGGGGCCTACAGGTGATGTGGTGGTTAAGAACACATGGCCAACCATGGTTCGAGTTCCAGACTTGGTGGCTTGATTTCTTGGTTTCTCTCTCACTCCCTCTCTGGCTTTCTCTCTCTCTGAGAGTACATGTGCCCTATAGCGATTTAAATAATAAATAAATAAATAAAACTAAATAAGTAATTCTTAAAACAGAAAAAAATCAAATCACATCATAAAAGTTCAATCCACAGGACCAGCACGTGGCGTGGTGGCTAAGGTGCTGGACACTCCCACATGGCCAACCATGGTTCAAGTCCTGGACCTGGTGGCTTGCTTTCTCACTTTCTCCCCCTCTCTCTGTGTGCATCTCTCTTTGGTCAAATAAATGAATAAATAAAATTAAATATTTCCTTAAAAAAAATAAAGCTCAACCCACAAAATATTAGGAACTAGCTAATAGTGTAAATGATGATGCAGGCAGGGAGATTAATAAATCAGGAACAACAAAAACATTCTCCCTTTGCTCTACCCTCCATGATTTCTTTCCAAAAATAATATTAAACACAGGATCTAGAAGGCAAGCTACCATTTGTTGAGCTAAATGTTAAACTGATGACTCTAACTGCAAACAGACTTCTATTAATCATGGCTGATCTTTAAAGGCCATTTGGGTTTCTGCCTGTGACATGGGGAGCAAGTTTGTAACATGAGTTCTTACACAGCCCAAATCCCAAATTTCTGCCAAGCAGATCCGTTTGGCTCTGCTCTGCCCACGCCCACAGCTGGAAATGCTACTGTCCTGGCAATGGAATACCAACTTCTTCGGGGAAGGCAAACTCCCCATCACACAGTTTATTTTGACACCAATCCTTTAAATAGTCTAAGATAAACTAATCAAAGTAGATTTCCAGTTCCAAAGTGGTCAAGAATGACTGGAGAGGAGGTGAGGAAATAAAGTTGATGTGCAATTTCAGGCAAAGTTCAGAATTTTATAAATCAGCAAAACAATCTCTCTGTTGCAAACAATTCTCAAGGCGCTTCAATGGCACAAAATACAAGGCTCCCAACTATTGAGAAACAATTACCAGGAAAACGTTCATCATTCCATAAAAAAGTACTTTAAAAGGACTGTCAAGTTACAATCCCTGTATGTCTAATCTGGAGAACTTACTTTGATACTCTCAGAGTGTTTGTTTGAGGCAGACATACTCTGCTGTTATAAAAACTGCTACCATGAAGGCATGCTGATTTTAATTACTGTACACTACTAAAACTGTACTAAGTTACCCAATTCTACTTCCCTCACAGAACCTCCTAATTTCTGGCTATGTTAGTCATGAGAACTACGACTGACCCACAAATCTCAATCTTTAGAAGAAAATCATCAGTGAAAGGTAGGATGGACAACAGATGTTAAAGACTTCATGTATATTTCTCTTCCTTTTTAAATTTTTTTAATAGTTTCTTTCTGTCCTCAATGAGGGAGAGAAATGGAGGAGGGGGGAGGTAGAAAACGTAAAAGACAGACAGTGAGAGAACAGCCCAACAGGGCCCTGACTGCCATTACCCTCGGCCTCAGCCTGCCCCCGATCGGGGCGCTTGTGCACTGGGCATATTCAGTGAGCACTCCGGACAAGAACTCAGAACATTCCCATGTAGAGGATGCTCAGCCTTGCAGAGCATGGTGTTACTGCTGCATTATCATTCCACTCCCTTTCTCCCCTCTCTCATTTTTTCTTTCAAATATAGGGCAGACTTTATTTAAGGGGGATGGGGGGCACAGCAATAGGTACAGGGATCACTACAATGTGGTCTTAGGGCAGAGAGATTAGCCTCAACTCCCCATGCGTGATGTCTTTCAATAATTCATATCCAGAATTCCAGTGGGTCACAGGAGGGTAAAATGTAAAGTATCTTTTGGAAATGAATATTAATCTAAATATATAGCATTTTCTTCTGTTTTCCTGGAACAATTTCAGACACATGCTCTGTGAAATCAGATTCTCAGTTGTGAAGATATAAAGAGGTTCATCTAGTCACTTCAAGGGATTCTGCTATAAAAACCACTTTGTGGGTAGTTGGGGCATGCCCAATTTGAAAGAGTATATATACTTAGTGCGTTCAGAATACAATGTCCTTAAAGTAAAGTTCAACAATGTATTTGTGGATGCTTTGGGCACATGGACGACAAAAGTGAGAGCTTACTATATGAACACAGATTAAAAATGATTGACAAAGGCTTCCCTAACTGCTAAGGCAACAGTTTGTAAAACTACTTAGAAACAGATAAACATAATCTATCCACCTATCCAGGATTCCCTAAATTTAAATTTGATTCATTCAGAAGGTGCAGCCTGCTCCTTACAAAGGAATGGCTTTTGAGTGTAAAATCTAAGACTTTTCTTAATAATCCAAAAGTAAAAATACCTACACTAGCAGAATTCACCCTTAAATTTACTTGAGCATTCTGCCAAGTTACACCTACCTTCTAAGAAGAGAAAAAGAGGAAAAAGGGGGAGAAGAAAAGCAGAATAGGAAGATGGAGGAGAATGGAATGAAATGTAGACCCATCCGAAGACAGACTACAGTTAGTCTTTTCCAGAAATAATGTTTTTCAACTGCTATCTGCCCTTGTTTGTATATTTCAAACATGATACCATTACACTCCACCCACCAGCCACGAATCAAATATAAATGCTTACGGCTTGATAAATATGATTCAAAATACAATGTGGACAGCAACATGCCCCTTTGCCCTTTTAAAGGTAGCAGGATCAAGAGACCTTGATGAGGACAAATTGCATGAGATCGGACACCTACCATTGCTCACCATTCGCCTTGCCACTTCCCATAAAACAAGTCCAAAGGCCCAAATATCAACCCTCTTGTAAGAATCAAAACAATCCACTTGAATGGTTTCATCTAGAACTTCGGGGGCCATATAACGCTTGGTGCCCACACGGGGGTTGTTCCCCACATCAAGCTGATTGGTGCTCTGGGAATGCATGACTGCCAGGCCTAAAAGAAAGAAGACAACAGTATCATCATCTCACATTCCTTCTCATAGAAGGTTGCTGAAGGATCTTAAACTAATCTCAAACAAAAGCGCCCTCTTGTAGTATGCATGGTCACCATTGTGTTAGCACCCAAAACGATCCCTGAAATGCCCTTTGCAATGCCTTCCAGAGTGACAGTAGGAAAAGGGACTAATATGTCAGAAACGTTCTGGGGCTTTCAGGTTAATATATAAACCTCTAAGAGACAAAAAGTGTTGGGTAAATGTTAGACCAATGCACTAAGCCAATATGAGACTGGTATTTGAAGTCCACAGAAAAACAGACTCACATGTTAAATGCGAGGCTCAAAGTGGCTTAACAAGAAGCAAATTAAGCTCCCAAGCTCCACCACAGTTCCCACTAGTCTCCAAACACAAATTTTGAACAGTGTGAGACAAAGAGTTTGAGGTAATTTATCATTACATAAAGGGCAACCTGCTACAGACACACAGCTCCATCCGTAAAGGAAGGGCTGCTCACCCGAGCAATAATGCTACCAAACCCACAGGTCTTTCTCTAGAGCCAAAGGAACAGAGAGCATTAAACTGGACTTCAATCCATGCACATCTCTCTCATTACATGGCTTTGAAACACTTCCTTACACCATGACTCTTTTCAGGACTTTCAGTCAATTAGAAAGACCAGGCATTCCTCACTGGCCAGTGGGGCAAACAGCTGCAAGCATGGTTTATTTGAGGATACAATTATTTGTTAATTGGATACGCAAACCAACTGAAAATGATTCCCGTAACACTCAATAAAAAAGTACCAAACTAGAGCAAACTGTCCCTGTAAACCTTATCCAAAGACTTCTTGGGGATCCCTTAAGCTATCTGTAGAAAATAGGTATCCCCCTACTGTATGACTCTGAATTTGTGGAATGATGACTCCATATAGTGCCAGGAACTGCACTCAACTACAGCGACTGGTTCTTCTTTCCCTTACTTTTAACAGACAACCCCTAGATTCTGTGGCTACTGCAAAGATTTCCCAAATCATATATGCCGCTCCATTTTTCTCAGAACCAGAGTCAAAGTAACCAGAATATTAAAAAGGTAAAAGTAAGGGGATAGAGGAGAAAAAGAAACAAACATTTAAGAGCCACAAAAATGGAAAATTATCTGTTGATGACAATGTGTATGATAAATATCTTTAACTGGACAGTGTATTCATGCTAAGAAAATTCATTCTGCAGGCTGTAATGACATTCAGTAATTAAATTTATAAAATACATACACAGACACATAGGTTCATTTAAATGGAACATAGAGATATGAGCTGTGGTAGTTTTAAAAATATGTCCACAAGTTTTTGAAGCTTCTCTCTTCAGGAGGTGATGTTTAATTCCCCAGCTCGTGAATGTTGGCTGGACTATCAAAAAGAATACGTAAAAGTAATGGTGTGTGCCTTTAAAATTGGGTTACAAAAGGTATTACAAAAAGTATGAAAGCCTTCTGTTTGCTCTCTCTTGGCTCACTCATTATGTTATAAAGATACTCAAGCAACTCTGTGGAGAGTTCCACATGACAAGGAACTCAGGCCTGCTGCCAACAACTGTGCATGCGCCATCTTGGAAATGGATCTTCCAGCAACCTCAAGCTTCCAGGTGACTGCAACCTCACTGAGGTCCTGAGGTCTATTCTGCTAAGCTGCCCAAGATTCTTGACCTTCAAGGAATTGTGAGATTATAAATTCATATGGCTTTAAACTGCTAAATTTTAAAGGTAACTTGTTACCTTGTAACAGATTAACTATTACACCAAAGAGATTAAACAACCAAATGTACCATATGAACCTTGACTGAATTCTTATTTGAAAAAACTGGAAAAATATGAAAATGGTTATTAAGTGATAGAAAATGATCAATAATCTTTGGGTGTGATAAACTGTGGTTATACAGGAAATGCATTTTAACAAATTGACATGTAGAGAGTTATAAGGTCTGCAATGTATCTTCCAATGGATTAATAAAAATATACGCAGGCCCAGACTGGTATAACAGGTGGTAGCAAATGGAACTGCAGGGCTGTAAGACACACAGCTGTGGTTGCGGGTCCCTAAGTTGGCTTAAAAACACTCTGGACACATGAGAAGGTGCTCAGGATCCTACAGACCTAGAAGGTTGGGCAAAGGGGATCACAACATGATTAGAAAGGGGCATTCATCTCTCTCTCTCTCTGCCATACATACACTCTATGATTAATAAAATAAAATAATTTAAACTATCCATACAGCCACATACAGATGAAACAAATACAGAACATTTTTAACAATTTGCCTATAAATGATGAAGATTTAAGTAATCATTATAATATCTTTTCAATTCTTCTGTGTACTTAAAATTTTTAGAATAAAAAGTTATAAAAATAAATACAACACTAGACCTTTGCAATATTAATAATGGAGTACTATATCTAATGAACTAACCTTGATTTCTGGATATAAAGTGAAAGATTATATGTAAATAATCATCTTACAGGAGCTGTTTCCTATACTATGTTATGTAGTCACTGAATAATGACTCCTTAGTACAGACTTTGATATCAACCCATGTAATTCACTAGAAGGCTGCAGCCCTCTCCCCCCTAAAAAAAAGAAGTGTACAATACTTGAAGAATTAATTAGCTGGACATTTTTTAAAACTCCTTTACTCCCTCCCCACCAAACCCCATAAACCAAAACTAAGAGCTGTCTCAATGTGCCTGTCCTCCCCAGATCACTGGATTATAACCGCATCTACCACGTGCGTCCTTATGACTTACCAGGTGTTCATAATAATGTCTAAATCTCATCAGGGTCCTGTGAACTAGGCTTGTTTTTCAGTTACATGAGTAATGCACACATATGCTACTGTGAACGCTGGAAACAATGCAGAAGCACGGTGCCTGGCGTTGGACACTGGAGTTCCCTTTGGCACCAAGTAAACAGGTGGGCAGACTTGGACATGAATACAAAGTGAGAGACTGGGAAAGTTCAAATTCAAACCCAAATCTCTCTGCCTCCAAGGACCAGGAACTAAGTCATAAAAAAGTCTTCCACACCACAACTACAATTGTCTGCAGAAAGCTTTAGGGCCATGCTTGACAATGTTTAGCCTAAATATTTTCTTTCTTATTTATGGATCATGGTAAAATAATCTTTCAACATGAAAGCAATGAATTCAAAAGAGATTCAAAGGAAGTAAATTTTGGTAAGATGTCAAAACCCTTGTGTTTGGAAACACACAAAAAATACATAAATTTTGTTCTTTACATAATTAAAGCTAACTGTATCAAACCTTTATCAGTCTAACAAGTGCGATGATAAAAATATTAAATTATATATAATATAATCCACTTTTTAATCAAGTAGAATAAGGACTCTCAATAGTCCACTAGCATGAATAACCAATTTATGATTCAATTTTCATTAATGTAATTATTCAGGCAATATTTTAGATGTCCAGGATAAATATGGTTTTATATGAAATGTCACTAGGAATGAAAATAATTTTATTTATAATGCAACTAAAGTTACATTGAGCATCATCCTAATATCACAAAATGAGATATCCCAGCAGGGCAAAAGGTAAATTGGTTGGGGGATTGTTTTCCTTTTTGCCAACTTTTTGCCTTAGTTATAGGAAAATGATTTTAGAAACCATTTTTAAAATTAAGTCATTCCTTAGACTATTTAATTATGCACCTCCTTTATCTGAAGTGCTGTGAAATTAGAATGTAAAAGTATTGGTTGCCTCTGGGACAAACTAAACAAACCTGAGGTGACTTTCTAGAGTAAAGGGAAAGTCAGTATCTTGAGAGAGATTTGGGGTTTATAGTGGTTGTCAAAACCCTCAGAATGTACTTAAGATCTGTGTAGTTTGCAGTATGCAAACACTACCTGAAAGGAAAAGGAACACACAAATAATGCACCTTAGTCAATGATATGCTACTTGCACGAGGCAGGATATTTTTAGGAGAGAATACCTCTGTTTCCTTTGGAACATATCAAAGATTAAGACGGACTGATGGAGGGAAGATGAATAAATAGACATGCTAATGGGCATGGAGGTAGTAGGTCTACAGCTGTTCACTATGAAGTTCTTTTAAGTTTTCTGCATGTTTAAAATTTTTCATAACACATTAGGGAGAAAAAGATACAACCTGGGTAAACATTAAAGTGTAACAAAAATAAAGTCAGTAATTAAAAAAATATTTTAAAAACTTACCCAAATCTGCTATGCAACACTGTCCATTCTTCTTAACTAGGATGTTTTTGCTCTTTAAATCTCGATGGGCAATGGCTGGTTTTCCTTGGGTCCCAAATATCTCTATGTGCAAATGTGCAAGACCACTAGCTATGGACAGCACTATTCGAAGGCAGCTAACTGTATCCAGAGTAGTGAGCTGAAGATAGTCATACAACGATCCCATTTCATGATAATGTGTAATTAACCACAGTTGGGTACTGGAGTGCCGTGATGTCATGTCCGAAGCAATAAAACCTGGAGAGAGCAAGAAGAAAATTAACACACATGTGAAAATTCCACTTTGTAACTTTCACTATCCAAAACTATCGACCTACAGAGTAGACATCATCTATAACAAAAAATAAACTAACCAACTACCATGAGAAGAGATTTACAGAAGCATCAACAGAGAAAAATAACACCACTTGTTCCTTAAAAGGGCACTGTTAATGAAGAGGAAATTTTCATATACATTTCCATTGTAAGGAACCTTTTTAAAATAATTTTCCATTAAGACACAGATAGGAGTATCTTTGTGCTTACCCATAATGATAGTACAAAACTCTTTATCATGTTGATAAATCAAGCAGAGATCATTCATCATCACCCTAAAAAGCAAAACCTGGAACCTAGACACCTGTATTCTAGTTCTGACTCCGCATGTGACTTGCTATAGAATGTTGGGAAACTCCATTAGGCTCTCTGGCCTACATCTGCTCAAATGTAAAATAAGGGGGCAAGTTTATCTTAAATAACTGACTAATACAACAAATGGAAACAGGAACCAATAGAACGTAAGACACATTTATGATATTCTTTTTCAGATATACAGAAAAAACAAGATGACAGTATTTGTTGGCTAGATAAAAAGGAAGAAATTACAATATAAAGTAAAAAGCACTGCCATATATATCTGCAAAAACAACATGAGCTCAGAGTAGGGAATCATAACAACTCTCACCAGATGCTACAATAAGTTTCCATCAGGAAGTGACAACTGAACTGCTCTTGAAGAGATCCTGACAGATACGGATAAAGACATAGAAAGCAATTTTCTAGACATTCGAAAGGGACTCTTAATCTTTAATGACTGTCAAAATTAAAAACCCCAAACTATAAAAGCACCACTCCAAAAGAATTACACTGCTATTATGTATCTGTATGGCTTCTACTGACTATTTCTTCTAAGAGAGAGCAGCTTTTAATTAAATAAATAATATATACATTTTATTCTCCCACCTTCCTTTATACCTCTTGAGTTCTAGGGAAAAAAAATTGTCTGTCCTGTTAATTATGCTCTAGATCTTCATGAAAAATGACATTTAAATAAGCAGGATTTTTTTTCAATGACTTATCTCAAATGTGAATCATGCAACTATGTTTACTTCACAATGCTAGTACATCTTTAGAGGATGTCTTTGTCCTGAGTCAAACACTCTATTATCAGTAGAAGTAGAATAGGTATCTATAGAACAGAACCCTAGCACAGACACTGAATGTGTTCATACATGGGAGAGAAAGTGATTAGGCCAAAAGCCTTTTACTTAATAGCCAAAGTCATACTGCTACTCTTCTCAAAAGCTGAAATAAACCCCCAAATCTCAAGTGAGGTGATTGATGCCCTTTGTGAGACAACCACTGGCAATACTTTCAGGAACCAGCTACTGGGCAGCCCCGGCAGCTAAGATGTGAAGATACACATGGTAGACCATGGTGGCCAAGTCTATTGGGTCCTAGAGTCATGCTACTAGGACTACGCTTTGGTTTTGCCATCCCTGAGCTACATCATCTTACCCAAGGCACTTAAATTTCTCCCTTGGTTTTCTAATTTATCAGATGAAGATAACATCAACACATATTTCAAATATCATGGGGGTTAAAAGTTATTACACATAGAGGGTTCAATATGAAGAATAATACGTAGTAAGTGTTCAGTAATACTTAGCTATTATTATATTTTTAAATAGTCCATGATTCATTTAAAATTGTAACAACTTTGTAATTTAATATCACTTGTAGGTAGTTTTCCTCATCACCTATGGGTCTCAAGAAATTCTGACAGATAAACAGGTAGGCAATACTTTTAAAGAGCATGAGACAGTTCTGGAGATGGATGGTGGTGATGGCTGGACAAGAATGAGAATGTATTCATTGCCTCTGGACTGTACACTTTAAAAATGGTTAAAATGGTAAATTTATGTTATGCACATTTTACTACAAAATTTTTTTAACTGTATAAGACAAGATTTTGGACTGAAATTCTTGTGTTAACTCAATCGCCTTGGTTTTAGTAATTAGGAAACAAATGCTCAGAAAAACACACCTGGTAATACAAAGCCACACAGTGAGCTTCTAACGGCCCTCAGAGTAAAAGCTACTGGGTTGTCAGAAAAGTCATGATGATGTTTCTATCCAAAAATGCATCATGACTTTTCCAATAGCCCAATGGTTTTCCAAACTCTTAGACCACCTTTCCTGCCATGATATGTCACAGCCTCCTGTTATCTGCTAACTTCCACCTCAGACACAGTAGAAAGAAGAGTTAAAACTCAGATAGTCCATTTGAAAGATATTACTGTAGGGACTTAGGCAAGGAGATAAAAAACAAGAGTCCAGAGTTACACATGTATGTATGTGTGCAGATAAACAGATTCATGTAATTTAATTATATATTTTCAGAGGTGAGGGTCAGTAATATGCACTGGTTGGGGGAGGAGGTTGTAATCTAATATTCAAAACATAATATGCTCTTTGGATATTAAAGAAAATGATCAAAGAAAGTCTCTACACCCAGAAGGCTGCTAAATGAAGGGAAAAAATTAAACAAAGTTGTACATTTCTGTGAGCTTTCTCAACTAAAAAACCATGCAGTAAGACAAATCCACATGGTTGTGATTCTGATGAGGGTAGAAAGATCTCATGAATTCAAAATTTCCATGGATCATTAGGTAATAAGAAATGGACAACGTTTTGCCCTGTGTGACCGCATTAAGGGAACCTAACCTCTTATACGTGAATCATACTGCAAAGGTGCCTTTCACGTTGCCCTTGTGATTAAATCCAATTTAATTAATACTTACTAAGCATCTAACACGTGCAGGGCACTGTGCTCAGCACTGGGTATGAGTGCAAAAACAATAGAAATGATTCCTGTCTGCAGCATACAGTGAAGTGGTATCACAGATCATTTAACTCGAGTGTGTGAATAAAGAGACTATTTGCATAACATGGTGATTTCCAGAGCAATTTGCTCAATGAGTCTGTGAGCCCCAAGAGAGTGAAACAGGATGCATGATCATGCCCTTGCTCAGTAAGCCTCAGACCCCAAGTACTTCTTAAGAGTATATACACCTGCCTGGTAAGAGTAATTCTACTTTTAAAGAGGAATAATTTTACTATATCATGGTTTCTAAGAGAACCAATTCTTTTTTTTTTTTTTTTGAGAGAGAGATTTTCGCTATAGGGTGCGTGCGCTCGCCAGACAGACAGACAGAGAAAGCACCCCCCAGGGGGGATGGTCACACCGCAATCCCTTCTCCATTCTCCTCCAGGGATCTTGGGCACGCACACACATGCGTCCGGCGTGAGTTTTAAGCCACCGGGTCCGGGACGCGAATCGCAGTTGACTACATGGGAGTCCAGCGACATAGCCATTATGCTAACTGCTGGTTCCCTAAGAGAACTAATTCTTAACCTACTGCTCAAAGTCAGTTTGTTGCAGAATCAGAGGAAAAATGGGAACATTCAAGGGTAATTTTAACTACAGATGAATTTTTGTCTCTTTTTTTTTTTTTGTGTCGCTTTCCCTTGACTCCAGGGATGGAAGAAACAATTCCACTAGCAGACTATGGTGTAGAGTACAAAACTGTGGTTAAGAATTAGACTGCGGGGTGTGATTCCCAGCTCCACTACGTAAGCTCTCTGTTACATCAGTAACCTCATCACTTAAAACTGGGAAAAATAGCATATCAACTCTCTTACGTTGTGGTAGAGGTTAAATGAGGAAGTACACACAAAACACTTAAAGTAGAGCTCACTACACAGTCACTATCCACTATCGCTGTTCTTGCTGTCGTTACTGTGGTCACACACAGGCATCCAACTGCAACACAAGGCCGAGTGCACAAATTATACAGAAGTACAAAATAAGGGAGTACAGAAAAGCATGATTAGTTCCCCTGGGCAAGCTGGAAGAGAATTGAGAAGTTTGATGGAGGAAGGAGTAGTCAGTCAGAAGGTGGGAAAAGGATACTATATGGTCAAAACATCATGAACAAAGACACAGAACTTAATGTTTGTGGCAGTCCCAAGGAATAGCCAACTATTGGTAGCAGCAGAATGTGAACACATTTATAGATGATGCTTAAGAGACCCCTTGGAGGCCTACAGTAGAAGTCCTTAGTGCCAGGCCCACAAGTCACACATGCTGCAGGCAATTCAGAAGCCATCAAAAACACCGAGCAGGGCTGTCTCTGCTCCCCCGTGAAAGGCTCCCGTGTGTGGAGGGATGGCTCAATCAGAAAGGGGAAGCTGACTGCAGAGATATGAGTGAGGAGGATTAGGGCCCAAGGGTTAAGGACAAAGAAGAACTCAATAGTAGAAACTGAAAGAATTCTGGGATGGAACATAACCACTACACTGTTGAAGCAAAGCTCTGGACAACTGACTGTCAAACTGTTACTTGAACACAACTTGACCTGGACTTAAATACTAAACTTGTGGTACTAGAACAGAAATAAATTTTGGCAGTGGCCTTCCTATAAGCCAGACCTAATCCAATAGCCATTAAATGGCCAACACTATCCTATACAGAGTTAAATTCCACATAAACTTTGTATCTACTATTAAAGAAGCACTCCAGGCAGCATTTACTACATATGTATTAATTACTATACACACATTAAGAGAAACTTTTCAAAAATACAAAAGTCAATGTGCCCAGGGAATATATGTTACACAATATAAAGGGAAATACACTTTATACTGCCATAGGAGTATTTCAATGGGCACTTTACATATTTCACAAATGTTACTAAGCTTCAGTTTCTAAATTAAAATGTACACTGAATCCCTCTGTAAATCTGGGCTTTAAAAATGATGCTTAGTTTGAAGGAATGTGCATTTAATTATGATGTCCCTGGGAGCTGTGAATCTCTAGGAAATAGTCCAAAGATCTTTCTTAGTTTGATTCAAGTAATAAATATTCAAAAAGGGTGGAGTAAGTAGAACAACCAATGAAGCCTTGAAGTGAACAATATGGGACAAATTTTTGTTGTTTAACGATCTGCAGATGTAGGAATATGAATTAGCAATAACGGATTTCCTTTTCATCATCCAGAGAATCTTAAAACTTATTTGCAGATTTAAACAAGAAATTGGTGTTCAAAGAAAATTAAACAGTACACAAATGCTAAGGATTCCCATACTGCTTCCAGGAGAGACTCTCCAATTCACATTCACCAACACAAAGCGGGCAGGAAATTATTTCTCTCTAGACACAATTAATTGAAGGGATTACCCTTGCACTTACCTAAAATATTTTCATGCCTCAGCATCACAGTGTTGTACAGCTCTGTCTCCCTGAACCACGACTTCTCATCCCGGGAGGAGAAGATCTTCACAGCCACGTTTTCCCCTTGCCAGCTGCCTCTCCACACCTCGCCATATCTACCTTTCCCTGTGGAAAGCAAAACAGAGGTGACGGGGGCAGTAGGCACAGGAGGGGCAGCCAGCACAGATGACTTGTGAAAGATAAGCCAATAAGCTTAGTGCTTGTGATGCAGTCCCTCCCATTGCTTACTGGAGACTCCATTTAGGGATATAAATACCACCACCTTTTTTGTCTATAAAGACATACAAAAATGAGGTCAAGCCTGCCCCTGGTGTCCACCCTACTGTGAAAACAAATTAAACTGCCTTCTTTATCTGCACTGTACAATTTCCTGTGAACTACTCAGTTTATAATTACATTTCTTCTAGTGAAAGGCATAAAATGCATATGGTTTGGAACCAACAGATGCTGTAATGGTTACATTGCTAGACTCCCACATGGCTGACTACAGTTCGAGTCCCAGACTTGGAGGTTTGAAACTCATGCTGGGTGTGTGTACGTGCATGCCCAAAATCCCAAGAGGAGAATGGAGAAGGAAGGAATGTTATGTGGCCATTCCCCTGGGGGGTGATTTCTTGTTTTCTTTCTGTCTCTCCAGCGAGTGCACATGCCCTACAACAAAGTTCTCCAAAAAAAAAAAAAAAAAAAAAAAGCATATGGTCTTTCTTTACAAACACATAAAGGTCAGTAAAATTTAGGAAAGTTTTAGGCACTGATGGACCAGCCAGTGTCAAGGTAGTTAAGGTGGCTGGATCTCACATGGTTGACTCCATGGTTTAAAGCTCTGGACCTCCGACTCAAAAGCCATGGCATGTGCAAGTTCACACATGAACACATGTGTATATGTGCACCCCAAACCTTATAAGGAGGGAGAAATGAAGAAGGGACTGCAGTGTGACCACTTCCCATGGGACGTGCTTTCTTACTTTCTCTCTCTTGTTCTCTCTCTAGCATGCACACAACTCTTCAGGCAAATTTTAAAAAATAAATAAATACAAAATAAAGATTATTTTAAAAGAAAATGGTACTGATTGTTATTGTTACTCTTTCAATGTTGTACTGAAAGTCAAATGGCTTCCTTGGTTCCTTCCTTTCATATGAGGTCAGCACAGGTATTTTCTGAGTGTTCAAATGCATGGTTTGCCTAATTTTTTTTTTCCACAAAGAAGACTATTGTGTTTGAGATGTATGTTCTGAGAATCAAAATCAAAACCAAAACTAAACAAAGGACAATG